TGTGTGTGTGCGTGTGTGCGCGTGTGTGCGCATGTGTGTGTGCGTGTGTGTGTGTGTGTGTGTGTGTGTGTGTGTGTGTGTTTGGTATAAGTTGGCCCCGGTGGTCGCTGCAGCTGAGATCCTGAAATGTTATTTTAGCACATCAACTTCAGAGGCGGGAAAGACTGGGATGTTTTTTTTTTTTTTTTTTTTTCATGTTTTCGGTCTCAATTTGCATGTCTGCCTATTTTTGCAATGTGCTGATGTAGGGCTACATTATGTCTCTAAGTACTTTCATAAATGCAGCAGCTTCACTAACGAAGACTGATAACACGTCCCCAGCATGACTGGATCTGAAAAAACAAAGATATCTCATCTCTTCCCGTCCTTTCATCCCTCCTCACATGAATCCTCTGACTTTCTACCTGCGCCTTCCTTTTGTTTCCTTCACACGTTTCTCTGAGATGGTGTTACCAGTGAGATAAAAGATGAAAACTTAGTAGTTCCCAGTTACTCCAGTGCCACCATGAGGCTAGATATTGTGGTTTCCCCTTTAGTATCCAAACAGCTACAGCACAGCACTTTAAATCTGAGGCACACGTTGTCTACTACTATAGGTTCAAACACCTAGTGCTGCTTCTAACTTTTCTTTACTCTGATCCATTAACCGAATTTTTTTCCTCAGTTTTTTCAATGATTATGTTCCTTTAAAAAGTGGTTTTATTCATTTCTTTTTGTATTTTTTCAAAAAATACTTTTCGTATGAAAAATAAAATGTTAAACACAGGTACTGCTCTTTAAAGTATAAATTATGCATACACAAAGTGCTCAGTGGCATCAAGCTGTTAAGATTTCTGAATTTACAAGTAAACGGACGTCACCACTGACTCTTATATTCAAACCCATCCCCCGGGCCCAGGTCCGTCTCCGTCCTAGTCAGAACAGCCTTGATAAGACAAATGATGGTTCAGTCCTAAAGAGCTGAGCACAGATCGGCGCTGTATCGATTCCAGGACTCAGAGCCCAGATGTGAGATGATGACACTTAAGTGTAACGCCAACAAACACGCAGTCCTCCAACCCACTAATTACATCCTTCAGGTGGTTGTTTTTCCCTTCCAGCTGTAAAATTACTGGCAGACTAACAGCACTGGACTGATTGTGAGTGCAGCTGGTAGACGCTCTAAACCACCTTCTCTTCATATAGTATAGCACGAGTTACGTTTCCACTGAAAGTAAAATCGCACAAATTAGAATTATGTAAATAATTTTGCTTAATCAAGACACAGCAATTTCAAGAACTGACGTTTTTTTTCTCTAGGATGAGGTGTTTTGTTTTTTTGTTTTTTTTGGCTCTATCAAATGTACTGTATTTCTCATAACTGCAACAGAAACACAATTCGTATGGCGCGCGTCATGTGATCAAAAATCCGGTATTATCACTGGCGGGAGAGATGGCGAAGACAACTGGAAGTGATAGGAGGAGGAAGAGGAGGCATGTTTTATTGGTTTACTGTGTGAACAAACATTTACGTGTGATTTTAATTGAGTTTCTTATTGGTTAGAAACACCACAAATTGTGAAATTGGTTGTTTTTTTCCCCCACATTAGTGAGTTATCAACATTTTGCGCACATTTGTAATGGAAATGCAGCTACTGCCTACATGATCTGAAGCAAGTCAGTCATATGTCTGTATACATCTACATATCTGCTATATAAACTTCTTTGAATCCTGGTGTTTGCATGTTCTCCCTGAGTATGGGTCAGCACTTTGCCCCCTTTCGTATCTTCATCGGCCGTTTCATACCCCGTGTCTTTAGGTACAAAAAAAAGCACTTTTGTGAAGAATGTTTCAGGTTGACCATGGCTCAATTCATGCCTGCCAAGATGAGGTTTTCATTTTTATACCTGCTCTGCAGAGCTGGCCCAAGGTCATAGGATGCCCTCGGCAGAATTTCAGCTTACAGTAAAGCCCACAAGGCACCTCAACATTCCTCATGCTTGATGATTTATGTATTCTGCACTAACACCACTTGTTTGCAGTTACTTGGAGAGCCAACAAAAAAAATTAATAACTATATGATGCAATCGTATTAGTCATATCACAGTGTTTAATAAATTAAAAACAGTCTTGCAAATATCCCAAGTGTGTTGAGTATTTAATTTCCTCAGTAATTGTTGAATGTTCTCATGAAGTAGTGTGCATGAAAATGAAAAACTGTGATCAAACAAGGCAGTCCTTCATGTCGTTCTCTCTTTGGCATAGAAATTCTGATTTCAAGCGACTTTTGATGGCATTTGAGTATTTCGAGAATTTCTGTCATGAAGTGCAATTACATATGATGGTTTACTTGGAACGTTTTTTTTGTTTTTTTTTGTTACTTTTCATGTTAAAGAAACTCAGATACATGTTTAAAAAAATCCTTATGAATATTTAAAATAACAAGGAACTGAACCACAGTTAATCCAAATCCAGGGCACAATGACATGATCGAAAGATAAAACAATAAAATTACATTTTTCAGCTCAGACCAGATATTTTTTTGGCATTCAATCAGGAAAAAAAAAAATCAATTTTAGTTTTTTTATGACTGTTAAAATTATTCTATTTGTTAAATGCCAGAGTGAAGAGAGAGGCGTTGTCTTTGTTTTCATAATCAAAGTTTGACAAAAAAACTGATATGCGTTAATACAGTAAGAGAAAGCCCAGATATTGGGCTTTGTAGGCTTTTGAGAGCTTAATTCACAGCAGCTGAGGTCGGCTGTAGCGTACTTTGAGGCAAACGTACTGCTTCCTTATCTGACATCATAAAAAATTCAAAGAGATGAGTCAAAATATCAGGAAGAGAACATCGGACTTCTAAGAATCAAATTTTTAGATGCCATTACCCACAGTAAAGTGAGTCCTGCATACAAGCTTGCAGGCGATTTCACCTGATAATATCAATGATATACATTGAAGTACAAGGATAGAGACAAAATGGTTGCATGCAGGAATGAACTATAAATTATTCCAAAGCCCTTTATTACTTTTTATTTCAACAAGTCAGTCTTTTTACGATCACTAGAAGAATAAAAACATACTGAGGCCCATAAACCCAACATGCCTGCCAAACTGCTACACTGTCCTTATGCTGCCAGTGAATTAAAACCCATTTAAAATTTAATCAGACTGAATTGTGTGTATTACTTTACAGCAGACATCTCTCTTAAAGCACATATTGTGTTTGAAAGGAAATACTTCTTGATAAGCTTGGCGTTTTACACGTAGCTGAATTGGTTCCTTTCTCTTTTGTCTCAATACAGTTCAATGACAGACTTCACACAGTATATGTTGCACCACTCATATAAAATAAACATCCATCCCTTCATTCCTCTGATGCCAACTTGAGTTATAACTAAGTCATGACTTAGTTATAACTAGGATGGTTTGGTTTGAGTTTAGTTTTGGAGGTTCTCTGACTAAACTCAGCTGGTGTTTCCGCCACATTCATCTTTAGATCACCCAGCTCTGTTAGCGTTGATGATAATGAAGCCAGTCCCCCACAGCAGTTATTGTGCTTACCTAATAATGATGACAAACTGAGGGTCTGTGCGATAACAAACTGGTCGAAAGAGGCTTGAGCAAGGAGTCGGTCAGTTTTTGAGAACGGTAAACCGCTTTGGTTTTTAAAATGCCTCATCAAAGATGCATGCCACACTTTTCAGATTTTTATCCATCAAAAAGTAAATCATGCATCTTATTCCTTCCACTTAAATATAAAAGATTTTTTGTTGATTTGTCAAATAAACCCCCCCAATAAAACACACTGTTGGTAGTGTGAATACTTTTGCCAGGCACTGTAAACATCTTTCTAGGTCAAATTTTCAAAGAGCTTTCTTATTTTTTTAATCATGATTTATCCTCTGCCGACGATCATGTGGGATCATTTGTGGAGTCCCAACAGATGAATGAACAAACAAGAGACATTCTTAATGTTTAACAGAGATGCCAACATCAGTACACTTTATATTTTCAAAGATATCGGGTCAGAAAAGGGATGTTTACAGAAAATCACTTCCCCTGTTGACTAATTACAGAACAACAAAAGTGCCTCTGCTTATCACAACCTAATGCTCCAGTGAAATTAAACGTGTGTGGCCCAGTGGCAAAATATCCCTGAATGACAGAGTGCATTCAGGGATTAGTTTTATCAAAGGCGAATTTACATGTTGAGTTGAGGCTTTAGAACAATGGGAGACACTGATGTGCAACCTTCCATTTCAATAACATTGGGGCTGCATGGTATTTTTATAAACATTATTTATGTACTCGCATTTTCTCTTGAATTGTAATTTACAAAAATCACTCCACAAACTGATTTGCACACACTTTTAAGAGCACCGCAAACACATGGTTGCATTAAATCACCTTTCCTTCTCACCTTCCCTCTCTCTAGTCTACATTTTGAATTTTCATTGGAAGCATGTCGTTTCTAGCTTTAAACATCACCTTTAAATTGTAGGAAATCCATACATTTTCTAATGTGTAATTTTATTTAAAAAAAAACAATAAGAAGAACCGACATTTGTTTCCATCTTGTTTCTATTTGCAGAGAAAGGGAAGAGGATAGGTTTGATTATGTGGTTCTGTCGTATCACAGTGATAGTGATGCAGAACAGGGTGCTTAACTGAAGCAGAGCAACAATGTAGGAGGTGCAGTTGCTTCAGACACTGTGTCCAAGTGCAGGAAAATACATATAACATTGGTAAATATCAGTTATCGGCCATAACAGCAGTTTATCTATGCATCCATAAACGTGGGATTGGTGGATGAAGTGTTATATCTACCTCCATTGGTCATTGAGTGGGGAACAACCTGCACAGGTCACCAGACTGTTACACTCAAACCAATGGTCAGTTTAGACCAATTAATAGCAACTGCGATTCTACTCTCTTTTAGTTTCTTGCTCTGTTGGCTGCATTCCCATTGGTCTCAACTTTGCCATTCCTCCTCATTCCCTCTCTCTCTCTTCCACAGCCCTGTTGTTAGCTGATGGTAAGTTACCATCCCTCCTCTGTCTGCATCCTCACTAACCTGCTTCCTGTGATGTGTGGGTTGTGCCTAAATGGTTTGAAATTACTACTTCTCAGGGTCGTACAGAGATAAGACACTAGGTAGAGCTAAAGGACCTGCCCATTTTTCCTCTGAACAAAAGGAGCCCTTCTGAAATCTTTATTTTTTTTTACAGTGTAGTGTGTGACCTGCAATTAATCTCATACTACTAAGACAGCTAGCGTTCCAAAAGCCACACAAGCTGCCCTTTCTTGATACCTGAGCACCTTCCCATCAAAATGCAAACTGCATGCCACTGCTAATTTTACTTGATGTTTCTGTGTTAAAAATGTAAAAGGTTCACTGCAAAACCACAAAATCTTACCAAGTAATTTTGGTCTTGTTTCTAGTGCAAATATCTACACTTGAAATAAGACAAAATGAACATCTAAGTAGTTTTCCAACAAGATATAGGAGTTTGTTTTGAGTCAGTAATTCCTTAATTTTGATGAAAGCATTCTTGTTACATTGGCAGATTATCTAACTTACAACAAGATATTTTTGCCATGTTATGAGTGAAATAATCTGCCAGTGGAGCTAGCACTTTCTCATCAATATTATGGAATCACTGACTTAAAACAAATGCCTCTATCTGCTGAGAAGTTAGTTTTTTATTCATTTAGTTTTATTTCAAGAGTAGATATTTGCACTAGAAACAAGAGCAAAATTTCTTGGTAAGATTTTGTGGTTTTGCAGTGTTCAACATAAATAAGCTGCAACCAAATCAGTTTTGAATACAGCCTTTTTGCTGCTTTTTATGTTACAAATCAATCACACCCCTTTTATAAACAGTATCAATAAGCCAACACTGGATTTGGGCCTAATTTGAAATCCATGTTATCCTGCCAAGTCAACACTTGATAACCAGCGAGATAATTTTTTTTTTTTTTTAAATCAGCATTTTTTGCTATTAGAAATTTAATTACCTACGTTTAATTGCATTATTATTAAATTCCTTCTCCTTGTCATGTAGCAGCGCAGCTCAGAGCGAGAGGACGGCTGCACAATCAAATTTTTAGGACAAGCGAGAGATATCCCGTGAGGGTGACGGCACACACCGTCTTTTGGGTGTGGAATTGACTTTTGCTTGAAAGTGCGTGCGTGTGCTAAGGAGCTACGACATTTTTATGCATGCCTCTGTGTGCGCTCTCTCTCAGATACGCCCTCCTATCAGTAGAGGGCCGGCTGTGATCTTTAATGGTGGTGTTAATATTTAATGGTAAGCGTGTTGTCAGCAAAGAGCAGCAGGCTGGGACTCGGGGCTCGTATAAAAAGATGACAAGTTCCCCGCGCCAGGTGGCTCAGTCGGCGGGGGGAGAGAGACGAAGGGATGAGAGGCGTTCGGATCCGTAAGCCACTCCTTGTTGATGGAGTCCGACAGCACAGGATTGATGTTGCGGAGCTCTTTATTGTGTGCGTTTCAAAAGCTTCTCGGAGCCTCTGTTCACAGTTGGGCCGCGTCGGATATGTGATAGGCAGATGTAGAAACTCCCCAAGCGGTGAAAATGAGCAAATTTAAACTAATCTTTAACGTGTGTTGACAGTCGGCGGGTGGCCGTCAAAGTAGTCTGGATGTCTTAAATCAACAGGGCTTAGTCATTCCTCATGCAGCCTGCGTTAGCTGCTCTGTTATTAAAAATGAACAAGCTTTATCATTTAGTTATATCAGTATCTGTGGGACTTAAATGCAGGAACCTTTTCCGGAACGAGTACGTTTCTGAGCAGTTTACTGATTAAATACCAGGGTAGACTCCAAATGTTTATGGACAATGGGTCTGGTGAGCAGGTAGGACTTTGTTTCTACTGTAACCAAAGATGGAGTTTAGCATGGTTTTAACCATAACCACTGAAGCAATCAGAGATGGCTTCTTTTCTGCTTCCACTGTTTTTAATCACACTATGGACTCTTGTGTTACGGCGGTCACTGAAGCTAACTGGGTGTGAAGTGTGCGTTTGCTAACAATGATAATTAATCTGAGAATCTCTGTTTTAAGAATCAGAAAGAAATTCACATTGTGGAAAACGGTAACCGAGGGCTGGACTTACTGAAGAGTCACTTTTTTTGCCATAGAAAATTACTTTTAAGTCAGACTAAATCTATCAGCTTAATTCAACATGAACTGTTGTCTCTCCTATGCTGACTTTGTTTTTCAAAAGATATTTATTGTGCTCTATAATCTTTTTTTTTTTTGCTTTAAATATTAACACTAATGTCTAACACATAGATTGCCTCTTTTCCTGACAAAAAATGACCGATCACAGAGGGAAGGCGAGATCAATTGTTTAAATTTATTTATTTGTTAGAGCTCTATACAAGAAATCAGGATTAGCCATAACTGGTATCGGTAGGTAAATCATTTATAAAAATCAGTCTCAAAACTACAATCAGCACATCTCTAGCTAAAATATCTTATGTATTTTGTGGTACAACTGGTAGGAAAGTTCCTAGTTAGTGTTTAGAAGGAAATTTGCCCCTGGATGGGCTTTCCTTTTATAAAACGTTAGCTTAATCCTCTATGAGAACGTCCCATAGATTCTCCAAACATATGTGTTTAAGACAGGTAAGACAATGACTCTTCTATAACACTCCACACAGCCCCACTTAGAACAAAATTCAAGTAGCTTTTTAATTAAAGTATGTTTCAGAATTTGAAATCAACTACTTAAACACTCCATACATAGATAGAAAATGATAAATATAATCAAATTAAAGTAGCTTCTCAGTAGTTCCCTTTCATTAAGCAATCAGCTGTTGACAAATTAATTAAATGTTTGGCTATATCCTAATTAGATTGTAGGAACATCTAAAAAGGGATATCTTGAATAGACAGAAGAAAGAAAAATGAAGGCTGAAGTATTTCCAGATTAAATTAAAGAACTTCTGGAAAAGAACCGGAGATTAAACAGAAACAGAAGTCTCATTCCACACTTCTTTTTTGTTTTCAAGATAATTCACATTTTACCGTCCTAGAGTTTTGATGTACATAATATGTTGAGGGAGTAAAAGTTGAGCTTTTCTCAATGAGATTTTTCTACTTATTTCATCCATGCTGCTTCTGTCCATCCAGATGTACCAGACAGGAAGCTTACGTCTGACGAGGAGGAAGCCAAGCGGATCGCCGAGATGGGAAAGCCAGTGCTGGGGGAGCACCCGCGGCTGGAGGTCATTATCGAAGAGTCGTACGAGTTCAAGGTGAGTAAAGTCGCAGCCGATATGTTTCTGTTTTCTCAGAGGAGCTTTTCGTTGCCTGAAATTGGACGGTGCTGCCACCGTGTGGTGAATCGGGTGTACTTCTCTCTGTGAAAGCAGCATGATGATGTTGATGGGAGAAATAAAAGTGGTCTGTGTTGACATCTAGAGCACAGTGGACAAGCTGATCAAGAAGACCAACCTGGCTCTGGTGGTGGGAACGAACTCCTGGAGAGAGCAGTTCATGGAGGCCATTACTGTCAGTGCAGGTAATGCTTTCTGTTCTCCTGTGTCTGCTGGACTAAAATCTGTTCATCTGCTCATGTGTGAGACTCGGGGTGTTCTGGTGAAAGAATAGGGTCTATATAATATAAACTCATCTGGTAAACTTGTTTTTTTATGTTTAGGTATGAAATACAATGATATTTTGGGTCAGCCTTTTTCTCTAAAATAGTGATTTTGTCATTCTTGTGCAGTTCCACTGAAAAGTATTCACTCCTCTTCAACTTTTCACATCCTGTTTTGTTACAACAAACTTTAATGTATTTTATTGTGATCAGAAGAGGGCATTATGGCTTCACTTAGAATAATTGTGACTCACAGTGAATGTCACGACAGTATACTAGCAAAAATAATAATTAACTCAAGTAAGAGTAAAAAGTAGGTGTAACTCAAGTAAAGCATAGCAAAAATACTCCGAAAAGTAATTTTTTCCCCAAATTGTTACTCAAGTAAATGTAACAGTGAATGTAACTAGTTACTACCTAATCTGACTGAGATAAATCTGCACAAAAGCAGAGCACAACTCGTGTGCTAGAGTTTTTTATTTTTTACAAATAAGAAAAAAACAATCTCTGATGTTATTGAATAAAATTCAACTTGTCGAATGTTAGTGTAATTTTATTTCTGCATAACTTTAAGCTACAGTCATCCTAATACGGGTGGCTGTACTCTTTATTAAAATAGTCAAGTCATTGCTAACCCGACATCTTTTAAATCTTACAAAAAAAGAGTAACATCCACAAGAGGCACAGCACAACTCACGTCCAGCAACATTAACTTCAGCCGCCATCCAGCGAGAGCCGGTGAAGGCCTCAAGTTTTGTCGCTGTGGTGCTGAAATATTTAATCGAGAGCGCATCTTTACTATTTGATGATCCGTCGTGGGCTGAAAAATGCATGCGGCTCACGCGGCCTGACAGTTGGAATCATGACAGTGCAGGCCTCTTGCTTATCCGCTTAATGTCCTGCCAGCTGTCATCCGGACTGTGGTGCCTGGTTCGTCTTGCAGAACACAACAACCTGCAGCGTGTTAATCCAATCGAGTTTATTAGATTTGATATCGTTAAGTGAATTTTCTACAGCCAGAGTCAGAAAAGTCACACTTACAGACCCGATAAGCTTCTTGCCTTGTTTGCTCAGTAGTTCTCCATGTTTATTTCCACTTTACCAATCCAAAACTTGTTGGTTTTAAAAACTGTTTTGCAAAACTGTTCACAGTTCTGGAACTTTTTTTTACATTTTGAAAGCACAACCGGAAACTTTATGCATTTTACTGGGGATTTGTGTGACAAACCAAAACAAAGTGCTTATGGTAACACATGGTTTTCAACATTTTTTTAAATTTATTCATAGAGAAGTGTGGTCTGCATTTATATAGAGCCCCTCTGAGCAAAAGCTTTGTTTAACTGTGTTTTGTAGCAGTTTGATGTTTTCAGGGAATATTCATACCTGCTTGTTTATCCAGAGATTGAATTTAAAAGTGAAAGTTTCTCCTTATAACGAGGGAGGTTTCATTTCTCTTAATAACGAAAATGTTTCTTCTTAAACTGAGAAAAATTTCCTGTTATGAGATTCAAAGCTTGTTGAAATGGGAACAAATTCCTCATCTTCCATAGATCTGGTTGTGAAGAGATCATTTAAGCCAGTATTTTTTAGATATTTTCTGTCATTTTTAATTTCTTTTTAAGAAAAAAAAAAATCGATTAAGATCGATAATTGGATTCGGTAAGAAAAATATCCAAGATTTTATTTACAACCCAGAAGGCCCAGCCCTACGTCTGATGCCTTGACAGAACATCTGGAGTTACACTTCAAACTACACACATGTGGACTTGAGTCATTAATAAAGACAGATGGCTGCCCTGCATTTCAGAGCAAAGAGGGTGAATACAAATATGCATGTCAAACGTAAAACGAGAAGTCTAAGTAAAATACATCGTTTGTGGTTGTAATATGACAAATGTGACAGAGCAGGAGTTTAACCTAAACTTTAAAGCCCTATGCAAGTTAGTAAAAGTCACACTCATTTAAATAAGTATTAATAAAAAAAGAAACAAGTAAAGTGCTCAATCATTTTTTTGCAGTTGTCACCAAACTTCATCTCATTTCTTAATTGCCATGCAAAGCAGCTTGTCCTTTGAGGCCTCTGGCACTGACGAGTATTTATCACACATTTGGAGTCAGATTTGCATAATAATAACCTCCGGCTGAAGTCAAAGAGATGTTTCCTGCTGGGAAATAAGTGAACATGCCATTTTAAGTGATTGTTGTTCTCCCTCTTTCCTTCTCTCCGTCACGCCCTTTATTTCCTCCGTTTCCTCCAAATCCCCTCCTCTGCTCTCTTTCTCAAAACTTTCTGCTTCGTCGCATTCCATTCTCATCTCCCTACATCTCTGCCTGTGCTCTTTTCAATGCTATCAATCCGTCCTTCGTTTCCCCCTCGTCCCCCCGCTCAACCCCACTTCTGCCCAGGAGATGAGGACGAGGAGGACACGGGCGAGGAGCGCCTTCCGTCCTGCTTCGACTACGTCATGCACTTCCTCACCGTCTTCTGGAAGGTTCTGTTCGCGTGCGTCCCCCCCACGGACTACCTGAACGGCTGGGCGTGCTTCATCGTGTCCATCGTCATCATCGGCCTGCTCACGGCCGTCATCGGCGACCTGGCCTCCCACTTCGGCTGCACCATCGGCCTCAAGGACTCGGTCACGGCGGTGGTGTTTGTCGCTCTCGGCACGTCCGTCCCAGGTGAGTCCAGGAACAGCAGAGGGGGGATGGGAGGCCGTCTTTGATAAGGACGCATCATTTTCAATACTTCACCGGGTCTGATTTATAAACCCGTCCTCGGGTTTGTAAAGCCATGGTGTTCATAAGTAGTTTATTTCTGTCCTTAGTTCATTTTCTCACATTCTCCAAACTGATATTTGACCTCAACAGGAAGATTTTTTTCCCCCTAAACCAATGCATCAGGTGTTTTCTTTAATTAAAGGTCATTCAGTCAGCTTTAATACGAGGAAGGAATAAACCAAAAATGTATTTAAACTTCAGTTTACCTGGTGAACTGGTAAGGAAAGAAATTAGACGTCATATCCCTGCAATAACTAATAGATCTGTTGGTGTATTTGTGTTTTCCTTTGAATTCAGAGTTTTGTACAGGGAATGACGTCCGACGCCAGATGCTAGTTTTAAATTAGTTTTAAAGCGTGTGTTTTGTTTCGCCAACAAATTTACAAGTAAGCATTAAGTTGATTTAGAAAGTTGAAAAGTTTATTTCTATAAAGTTTGTTACGGTTTACAGCTAGTTAAAAAAGAAAAATTCTTAGGAAATAAGATTTAAGAAAAACTAAGTAAGAGTCATCCAACTGAATAGCATGTCCATTTGCTTTTGCCGTAGATGGCCTCCACGCTCGATCAGCATGCCTCCGTGTTTCCAACTAAATGTCATGAACATTTTTAGCAAACTTTTGAAATGTCACAACAAAAGAAGAAAATAGGAAAATGCAAATTTAGAACGTCTGGAGCAAATCAACCAGGCTACGCAAAGCAAAATTTGTCAGATGTTGACGTTAGGCATAGATGTAATAAACAAGATGTAGCGGTTGCAAACAACCATGGAGCACACGTCTCAGAAAAACGTGGGAGAGTTGTCCACTTTGAACTGGAGGTTTGGACTTTTGAAATTTTTCAGTTTCATGCCTCTGGTAAGGCACAGACCCACCAGTGAATGGGAAGCATTGCTACGTAAGAACTAGTTCTGCTAACTCGCTTCCAACTCCCCTGTTGGCCATTAACTCCTTCGGAAAAGCCAAAAACTTTCTCAAGCGAGTCTAAAAACGTTTTATGTGAAATTGAGGAGGGCATTTTTGAATTTCGCTATTACCATCAACCTTTTCTAATGCAATACTTCAAAATGCACATAGACGTGGCTAGTGGCTCTCCTGATGCGTTTAGGAGCATGTTCCATATTAATGTTGACTCATGCATCTCAAATATTTTTTGCTGAAGCAGAACTGAGTCCAAGAAAACCCTTTTGTAAAGAAATTGGACTAAAATTGTGTAAATCAAAAGGAGAAAAGAAGAAAAATTCAAGTTAATTCACTCAAAAGAGGTTTGTTGCCTTATGCGATACCACCAGAGACAAAGCTTGTTCTTGGGAGGGTAGAATGCAACTTGATTTAAAAAAACATCTAAAACACCAACTAAAACAATGTATGGGGAAAAAAAGCTGACCAGGACATTCTGTGATAAATTACACCTAAAGTGAATTTGATTGATTTTACACAAAAGTCTGGCTAGTAGCTTTAATTCACATACTGACAAGGGCTTGGAACATTAATATCGAACTTTTCTATCTAATCTTTTCTGGGTGTACTTTCCCTTTTGTGGAAAGATGAAAAAATTAAAATAAAAACCACTAAGAGTAATGTGGAGTGTAGGCCTGAGTGAAGGAGATTAATGCAGCTAATGTCTGCAGAAGTAAAACATTATTTCTTGAGATTCCTTTTCAATGACTTTGTCAGTGCTACTTTGTTGAACCTTTTTGATAGTCTGAGCTTTAAAAAGTTATCAAGCTAAAATCTCTGGAGACTCTCAGGCTTCTTGTTGGACAGTAAATGAGTTCACTGTGAGATGTCTTACATAATTTTCCTCCAACTGCAATTTAATATGCTCTTCTACTTTTGGAAAATCCATTCTTTTCCTTTGCCCTTCCAATCAAACAGAATTCTGTGCTCTGAACAACGCTTCCTTGATCTCGACCGACCAAAGAATGCGTACCGCATTTTTGCCCTCGGGCCACATTCAGTTTTCATCGCTCGCCACATCCTCGCAGCCAACAGAAGCCCAAATTACTCGCTCATCTGTTTATTTAGAACTTGATTGGTCGATTTAAAACTCGTCTGAGCCACTATTTCAGAGGAAACAGCCGCATCGTCACTGATTGGCCATTTTGTAGCTCCTGATTATGGCAGAAACTCTGCTTCATCAATCTACCCGAGTCTCTTATCAATGGATTCTCTGGCAATCAGATGTTTCAGGTTCTGCTTGTTTCTACGGAGCTCTGATAAAACCGGGCACCAAGTTAAATCCCACAGGTTTCAGCTGAGATGTATATATTTACCTCGTTCTGGGTGGAGGTGTTTAAACTTTTATACAGTTTTTTCTTCTGGATCAGAGCTTGTTGGATATTTCGTGAGCACATTTCTTTATATTGTAGAAATAAGTTTTCCCTTTGACAATAAAAGGAATGTTTTATAATTTTGGGGGGTGTTATTTTTTTTAATCAAAATTTTGATGATCATGATTGATTTATAAAAGCAATTACTTCCAAGAGGTTGAACACTCTTTGTAGACACTGTTTTATGTAATTCAGACATGTTGACAGAGGCACACCTTGAAGTTGCAGGATACTGCAGGACGTCAACTTTCTCCTCAACTTTAACCTGCTTCTCTGTCCCTAAAGCATCATGTTTAGTTAGTAGTTTATTTCAGTATAAACTGAAATATACTCTGGGCTACGATGTCATAAAATGTGGAAAACTCCAAAAGCAAGTAAAGGCCAGCATCCTTTACTTGACCCCCCACCAGGCTAAGCGTTGTTTGTTTATTCATTTTAATACATAAGCAAACAGTGACAGCAAAGGCAGGCTAAGGTAGGTTTATATAACAAAATATCAGTAATCTTTAGCAGACAATTATCAATTTAAAAAAAAAAAAGATAATGGCATGTGGTTTTATATACAAAACCTAGAGAAATGCTAGTTTTATTTAATGCACCACTATATTTTTCTTGTTGTTGATGTTTTATTTTCAAACCTTCCTATTAATTCTTAAAAGAAAAAAAATAACACAAAAACACAGCAGAGCAACTGGTGGACTTCCCTGGCATTCACACCACCGGGCTTAGCTAGTTTTCTGGGGGAAACTCTGGGCTACGATGTCATAAAATGTGGAAAACTCCAAAAGCAACACTTTCAAAAGACCCTTGCGTTGGTCTAATGAATAAATGCAACAAAAAAGAACGACGTCAGAGGGGGCACCGCGGTTAGAGAGGGCGGCAAGACATAGAGGCTACAGACCTAAACGTGGCTGTCCCGAGCTCGACTTCCGTCTTCGGTTCTTTTGCCGCATGCATTTCCCTCCTTTTCTCTGTCGCATTACTGTAAATAAAGGCCACCAGAGTAAAAATAAAATAATAATAAAAAAAAAAAACACATATCAATGGCTTCCCTAAACAAGGCTGACTTTAAAACAGAATGTCTTCTTTCTGCAGATACCTTTGCCAGTAAGGTAGCCGCCGTCCAGGACACCTACGCGGACGCTTCCATAGGGAACGTGACCGGCAGCAACGCCGTTAACGTCTTCCTGGGCATCGGCATGGCCTGGTCCGTGGCCGCCATTTACTGGCACATGAAAGGGAAGCCGTTTGTGGTGGAGGCCGGCTCGCTGGCCTTCTCCGTCACCCTCTTCACCATCTTCGCCTTCCTGGCCGTGTCGGTGCTGCTCTACCGGCGCCGAGCCCACATCGGAGGGGAACTGGGCGGCCCGCGAGGACACAGACTGGCCACGTCGGCCATCTTTTTCAGCCTCTGGTTCCTCTACATCCTCTTCTCCAGTCTAGAAGCCTACTGTCATATAGAAGGCTTCTGAGCAGATTGAGACTCCCGACGAAGAAAAGCAAAGAGTGGGAATTGGGTCAATCTTAATGCTAAGAACGTTTTTTTTTCTAAGATATGTCGTCTGCTCTCTCCTTCTCCACCCTTCCCTAAAGAAACCTCGGAGGCGCGCATTCTGCCCTCAACAGGCCCGAACTGCAGCTTTCATCTGGGTTTTATTTCCCAGCATGCCCCGAAGGATTGCGGAGGAGATCCTGCATTCTGCTGTTAACCTGGAGAGAGCAGAGTCAATCAGAGGTCTATATTTTTCTCAAAACGGGACAAAAATGACTTTTTAAAAGAAACATATTTTGAGGATAAAAATGCAAAAACTAATGCAACAAAAATAAGAGACCCAGTCAACATAGAGGAATTAAAAAACTATTTTCTGATTTGAAAAAAATAATAATAATAATAATAATAATGACATTACAGTTGAAAGGGAAAATACGATGTGGAGTGAAAGAGGGGTGGGTTCATAGTATTTATTTTATTTGCATCCTTTCCTAAAAGGAGTTCTGTCAGAAATTCCGCAACCAGGAAGAGGAACAAGAAACGACAGCGACAGCTCACACCGCCGGACGAATCACGACTCAAGCAGGAGAACATGGGGGTGGGAGGAGATGCGAACACGGTCAAACTGCCCTGAACATTACTTCCTTACTCTAAATGTATCTATATATAATATATTTCCATATTTTCTGTATATTTTCAATATTTGTTTAAATGTGGTCCTCTTCTGCTCCGACAGAGGATCGCCGCGGCGCAGCGGGAGGAGGCCGGGGTGAGGGAGGGCGGGGGTCAAACTATATATCTGAGGATGTCTTCACCTTTCTAAGAGTTATGTATCTTGCCTATAGGTAAACGAGTATGACATTGTATTTTGTTTATTTACCAATATCTTGGTCTCACTTGACTTTTCACCGTTTTTTCGATCGGAAATCCGAAGAAAAGATAAAGAAACAACAAAAAAATAAAAAATAAAAGCGACTACATTTGTTGCTGCAGAAATAAATTCAGAGGTATTTTTGTACTCTTCCTTCCATGCACTTTGCTGTATAGTTCTACTTCTGGAGACTTCTTCTTCTTCTCCTTCTCCTTCTTCTTGTACATGTGCAAAAGGCTAATGGTCAAAGTGGTCACGATGAACTGAATGGTGCCTGTGGAGGGAGAGTTGTTTGCTGCAGCTACCCACACTAATCAGCCTTTTGGTTTGGTCAGAGAAACCCCGTTCTCTGCATGAGGATGCATTAATTAATATACATTTAGTATCTGTGTCCAATTACTGACATTCTTGATTTGTGTGTCACTTTGTCTTGGATCTCTTGGCTGGTTTTCAAACTCAAAACGCATTCGTTATCACCTTGTTTCGTTCTACACTGTAAAAACACAAAATCTTACCAAGTACTTTTAGTGTAGTTATAGTGCAAATATCTGAGTAGACTTGAAATAAGACAAAACTAAGTTATAAGTAACTTTCCAGCAGGAAATAGGAGCTTGTCTGAGGTAAATAATTCCTTAATTTTTATTTTAAAAAAAGAAAAACAGTAGTTCCCCTGGGAGATTATTTCACTCATAACAAGACATTTTCCCATATTAGTGAAATAATTTTCCGCTTTTTCCATTAATATTAAGAAATTATTGATTAAAACAATCTCCAATGTCTTTATGAAAAGTTAATCGTCAGTTAAACTAGACCAAAAATGTTTGGTAGGATTTTGTGCTTTTGCAGTGTAGCTAGAGACGGAAGTGTCACTTTTTGACAAAGAGGTCCCAACCAGTTATGATGCCGATCCTCATGTACAGATCTGGAAAACTCTTTAGTCCTGTATTTTTCAAACAAGCAAATCAGCTTCTGTAATACAACAACATGCAGTTTTGACGCGCTCCAGCACCTCACATATAATCCACCATCTTGGAATCTTTCTAAGTACCTTTCAAAATAAGATATGAAAGAGCATACAACTCCTGGCAAAAAAAAAAAAAAAAATTAAATTAAATTTAAAAAATTGGAATCATTAGAGAATCTTAGAGAATAGTAGAATATCACATTTTCAGCCCAATGAGAAAAATAAAAATGTCGGCATAAAACAAATTGAAAAAAAGTCACAGTCAGTACTTTGTGGCATCTCAAAATTACCTATGAAATACAAATAATATGATGATTAATCAATCAGGTTCGGTGCACAGATCTGTAGCTTTTATGTAGGGCAGGGTAAAATAAATACTATTTTAATTTAACTCTGTCTGCCTCGTCAAAGTTTCTGAAATAGGCATTTTAAAGGTGACTAAACCTTATTAGTACACAACAGCTCTCTCTTCCAACCACAAGATAAGACTAGTGTTACTATTTGTTTTAGAAATACAGAATAATGAGTGAACCCCGTTTTTTTTTTTACAAAAAATACCACAATTTCTAAAAATAAATAAATTAAAAATAAAAAAATTGTAATTTCTGTTCTGACTTTTTGCCAGATGTTGTAGAAGCTCTACGCATGTTTACAGTTGCAAAAATAAGATATTTATCATGGAAAAATATTTGACTCAGACTGACACAAGCATCCTGTAATTTCACCAAAAGCACCAAATAATCCAGAATACTGAGTTATTTAAACTGTCTCTTGATATTATTGCTTACTACAGTTTTATGCAATGAACGTATCTCATTGTTTTTTCCAAAACGTACAAATCCTGATTTTCTCGAAAAACCCTCCAGAATATCTTCTCTGTTGTGATCTCTGACCATATCAGGTCAGGTCAGGTCAGGTCAGGTCAGTGTCCAGGGCTGCTGGTGTAGGTGCTGCAGGAAGCTCCGGTTTCAGATCCAAAAATCGTCTCATTCTCAACTCTCTTCAACACATTTGTTTTTAAAATGAAGTGGGGAAAAGCTAAAAAAAAAAAAAATCCAAAGTGAATCAGGAACATGTCTTATACTAAATTTGAAAAAACAACAACAAAAACACAATAAATAAGAAGAAAAAAGTGGTTTATTTAGTGTTTATTTAGTGTTTATTTAGTAAAGATGCACCGATCAATTAACCAGAGGTCGGAATAGGCCGATGTTTCCCTCAACTGCCAACTTTGAGTTAAATACATAGATAGGTGAATTTTATTTTCTCTGTGTTTTAAATGGATCAAAACTGTAAACTGGTATCATTTTCCCTCTATAACTGCATCTATCAATGGCATGCACACTTGTTTGGGACTCATGAAAATATGATAAATCTGATGCACTCATTGGGATGATCGTGTAATTACTTAGTTTTCTGTTTCATATAGAATTACTACCTCTATCAAAGAATCTGCAGCTCATTTATCTTTTTTATTTATTTATTTATTTATTTTGGTCAATTTTACGTGTCATGGAACTTTAAAAAAATTTGCCAGAAGAGGGTTGATCGGTGCATCTTTGTGTATAACAGGCTAAAGGAAAAAAATGCAAATTCACTCTGATCTCCATAGAGATGGTGTCAAGCATCACTCCTTGTGTTCCCCCCGCATCAAATGAACACACACACACACACACACACAGTTTCAGAGAGACGTGGAACATAAATCCATGTTATGTACAGAATCTTCAGTGTGTCTCCACAGAAACACACACACTCTAGGGGTCACTATAACGTCACATTTCACCCACAGATATTTTTTGTTATAAATTTGCAATCAGAAAGTGTGTCATATCTACATATCGCTCTCATTTATTTTGTTGTACTTTGTAGCTAAAATGTCAGCCGGTGCGCGCTCATGTGTGTGTGTGTGTGTGTGTGTGTGTGTGTGTGTGTGTGTGTGTGTGTGTGCGTGTGTGTGTGTGTGAACAGCACATCCGAAGGAGCCCGCCTTTCTGTTTTGCTGTCTTTTCTTTCCCTCTCAACCGGTGGGATTGAAGGGAAACATCACTGTGCAGTAACTGGACTTGTGGTTGTTGTGGGAAACTGAAAGGTTCAATAGTAGGGGGGGAGTTATAATACTGTTGTTTTAATTGTTTTTCTTTTTTGCGTGCGTGTGTGTTTGCGTGTACGTGTGTGTGCGTGTGTGTGTGTGTAACAGAAAAGGGACACATTTTATTGGATGAGTATGTTTTTTTTTTGTTTGTGGCCTGCTATGAGATGTCAAAATAATAATAATAATAATAACAATAATAATAAAAAAAAAAGCAAAATCCAAAAGTGGATCATTTCTTCTGTTTTTGCAAATTTGAACCTGTTCTTCTGGTTCCGAGATATACCACTCTCACCGTCACTATTTAATCCTGTCACCTCTACTCTGGATTCTAGCTAAAATATAAAGACAAAATACTCAGTAAAAATCTGTTAAAAAAAAAATCTTTATTGCAGCTGTGTAATCTCACTCTGAGAAAATAAGAAAAAGCCCACCTTTATTTGAGAATAATTATACACAACTGGCAAAAAAAATGTGTAAAGTAATAATTGTTTTTAACAAAATCAATATATTTTGGCTACTTTTGCATCTTCTTTAACATTTCACCTCGCTTTGGATTCTCTCACACTCTCCTCTCTTCAGGTCGCACACATATGAGACTGAAATGGTTGCTGGGAAACCATTTCTGAGTAATTTGGCCATATATTTTGAACCACTATCCTCATAAAAGATAAAGTTATGACCCGTTTTCTGTTTACTGGTAGAGTAAAGCACCTTACACAGTTTTCATCATATTTGTGGTTTGTAACATCCTACACCTACCTAGATTGTTTGCTGCAAAAAATAAATAAATAAAAATAAAAAAACATTTTACCAAAGCACACAGTTCCAGTTGGACTCACAGTTGATTTCATCTACTTTGTTTATGATGTGTTGATTAAACAGGCATCAGTTCAACCAGATAGTGTCTCATCACTCCACACTGCAAAAACACAAATTTTTACCAAGTATTTTTGGTCTAGTTTCTAGTGCAAATATGTTAGTACACTTGAATTAAGACGAAACTAACTTCAAACAACTTTCCATCAAGATAAGAGCTTTTGTTAGTCAACAATTTCTTAATATTGATGAAAAAGTACCAGTGCCTAAAGAATGTTAAAACCAGTTGTTTTTTTAATTTTTATTTTTTTTTTTCAGAATTTTTCAGGGTGAGATTGTGCTGCTGCAGTAAAAAAATCAAATAAAAAAATTACTTATTTTGAGGAAAATGTATATTTTCCAGGGGTTAATTTGTCCACTTCTCTTTTTAGTATTATTTTCTTCTGCTTGGGGAAGCATTTAAGACGACAAAAGAGAATTTACTTTTTCCCTTAATTGATTATTTTAAGTCAATAAATGCTGCTGCAGCTTAAATAGGTTTCCTGCGTATAAAGAAAGAACAAAAGTGAGTCATCCCAAACTCTGGTGGATTTTGCAGTTTGTTCGTTTTTACTGCCATCGCTGTCTGCAAACTCTCTGGATGTTTTCGTTTTCATTCCGCCAGATTAAGCAAGTGTTGCCTTCCTACAAACATGACATTAAGCTCCTGAAAATAAGACACAAATTTGTGTTAAGACTAAACTCAGTGGTTTTTCACTTAACGATGAAGGTTCAGTTTAAACGTACATGCACAATTCTTGTTGTCATAAGTTGTTGGAAAGCTACTAATGAGGATCTTATTTCATTTTTTTACTCCTTTTTATTTAATTCTGCTTTGTTTTACAGAATTGTGCATGGATTCTCCTTTGAATATGAATGTTTTATGCTGAGTATGTTATTTTATTTTATTTTATTTTTTTTGTTTGAGGTGGGTGCATCAAGTAAATAAAATATGCTATTTGATGAAGAGAAAATATATTTTCATGTTTGTTTCTCAGTAGCGTGGATCAGGATTGCGTGCAGATTTCTAATTCAGGTATTTTGGCTCACCACCCAGGGTGGTGCAGGCTCTTAGGGGCGAAAGGAAGCAAACAGAAAAATCAGTCAGACACACTCAGAACAAAGTTTCTATAGCTTACTGCAGCTTGTGTCTGATGTTATAC